CAACGCGGAAGCGAGAACACGATTAGGGAGTAACAGCCAGATATTACTCTACGATCATGATGCGCCACTCAAATATAATGGATAAATTTGGCATACGAGAACAACATGGTGACGCATGATTCATGACACCCCGATTGGTATACCGGACAACAACTGTTTGATTCTGCAGCTCTCCAATCCACTTTGTTCTGTATACCAATCCACTTGCCCCTATTCTTGTTATTGTTATTATCGCTGAGGCGTTGGCACCATCCTTGTCTACAAGCCTATGATATATATATATATATATATATATATATATATAAAATCCGGACTCGGTTTGCTTTGAACTTCGCAAGTTTGCTTGTGTTGTGAAGCAGATTCCTGCGCGGCATGACGGGTTCTGTGAGGCAATTCCAGACATTAGTTAAATGCAAGCGCCTCAGGACGACCTTCTCAGTTGACTTTAGAACTGCGGAGGTCAGCGCGATAGGGTGAAACAGTTTGGCAAAAACGGTTAACAGTTGATGATGATGCCAGGAATCAGGAATAAACCCAGAAGATACGGACTCGATAATAAGGGACGACATCATTTTGGTTAGGAAAGCTGCTCCAAATGTGAGAAATACCTGAGGGAGACTATCTGAACCTGAAGCAGAAGATAAACTGGGGGACTGAAAGAACCTAAACATTTCATTGTTAGAAAACAGCATCGAATCAGATTCACTGTATGGAAATAAGGGAATCTGGCTCTAATTTGACGAGTGGATGAAGGCCTCGTTGACGCTGTTGACATCCACCAGAGTATTAGAATGTTTTCTGTTCTGACCACAGAGAAGATAAATTCCATACCACAAAGGCCTGGTCTTCATTGTTCGCAAGAAGTGGACAGCGGAGGTTGTATACAGATATGTTATCTCAGCCTTGACCATGTTGGGATAATTATACTTCTGTGGCGGGATAATTTGGGATGGTAACAAACGGACAAATGGTCGATTTTTGATAGTTATTTTACAGAGTACTTAAACATCACTTCTGATTTGCAGCACCAAGAGAAATTGATGTACGTTACCACGCCACCTCCAGTCGTTTTCCTAATTCAATGCTATTATGTCGGTACCAATCAAAACCACCTATTTGCACCGGCAGGCCCTCAGCGTTTTGGTTCAACCAGGTTTCTTACACACATATAACGCATGAGTTGGAATTAATGCTTGTGTTCAAAATAGAGACAAAATCATAGGTCTTCACCAATAGAGAGAGAGACAGCGAACGTTTGTAACGGCCACTGATAGCACATTCGTCTTGGCAGGAGAGGTGCAAGTATGTACAACCTGCCAGCCAGCCTACCTGCGTCTTTTAATTCCAACCACATTTATGAGTCTCGCCAAACCCAGGATGTGACGGAAGCACCGAATTCACAGTTTTCACGTGCGGCAGACAGTTGACGGAGTATGAGTCCAGCGAGAAGTTTAGAAGCAATGTTGGCCATTAAGAAAGCATCATAAAGATAGACTGTCGGTGGTTGAACACCGCTGTCTAAGCAGTATTAAGTGAATCTGGTGGAGTCACCGGACGAGCAATGCTGAGGTTAGGCGCAGAGTTTTTGGTAACTGCGGTCGTCCACTGGAGCAAAGGTCGACCTCCATAGATAACGCTGGTTCGGGGGTGTTGCGCATGCCGCCAGATAGGTTGCCACGGGGCGAGCGATGCTTGCCGAGGCAGGTAGTGGATGGAAAAAAGCCAAGGGTGGTAAAGCTAAGACCTGACACGAGGGTATGTAAACCATGAGGCTGGTTCACATAGGTCCCGTTAGGTTCCCTGGTTAAGGAACGCAGGATGATGGACATCGATGGTTAGAGACATTGAGTGGTATGGCTGAGTGTCGTAAACAGTGGCGTCCGTGTATCTTCTCAATTTCTTTGTAAAATTGGTCCGCTGAACTTCTCTATTTTCTATCCAACTGTACTTTCAGATTTCTTGGTCTCTTCCCACTGTCCATCCAATTGGGCAGCCAAAAGACAGTAAAAAAATTGGCGCACGAAAGTGCATGGTTAATGGTTGTTCGAACTGAACTGAAATGGAAGATGCCCAGACCAGATACAGTATAGATCCTGATCATGATTTGTATCGAGATGGTGATGGATCAAAAGGGTTAAGTTCAAAATGACGGCGAGTGCAACAATGTGGCACAGTCAATCGATGAGCGCGCGGATAAATGCTAAGAAACCTCTCTTTAACTTACATTTAACAAATCTCGGTGCAGTATTTCTCAATTAACCAAATTTATGGAAAGTCGTTGGTGACTACTGTGGTGGAAATAATTTCCGTAAGAGTTTGCTTACCTACATCTAACATTGCTACGAGAAGTGTGTTTCGTATCCAGTGCTATGACCCAGAGAATCAACGGCATAGGGCAATTTTGTAAATGGTGTGTTAACCTTTATTCCGAAAATCTAACCCAGATGCATCAAGCTGGCTGAATTCAACCATAATCATAGATAGGTCCAATTGATTAGAAAAGAACAAATCCACCAGATTTTTGATTCACTGGTTGACACGTTTCCATCAATATCGTTAGGTTCACTTGAAACTCACATCTCGTTTTAAACAAACAATACTCCTGTTTATTTCACAATTTCAATGATAATGCAATAGTTTTTTGTTCAAATTATCTGCAACATACCCCTCCCCATTGAATTAGTGTTCCAAGCTGATCTTTGTCCGGTTTCACACCGTCCAGTTACCGGTCTCATTTACGTGCAACAGTCGCTTGCCATTTATACAGCGTCAGTCGTTCTTCGGAATGTACATTGTTTTGGCCCATTTGATCGTTGCGCCACGTTTTGACTCGGTAGGTGGCTGCCTATTGCGGACAGAATATTGTTTCACTTTTGATCGATTTAAATCTTCAGAGAGATATTGATGATTTCGTTGTTTTTCCGGCTATTGTTAAATTTCTATATGGGTAAAAACAAGTATCATCACACTGGGGGTTAAATTCAACTGTTTTGCTTTGTTTCTTCATCTGTGTGCAAATATTCATGTGAAAGTTCGACCAGAATAATGTCAATTCTTTGAACATCACAAACACTCGACTAGGCAAAATCAATGCAAAAGACAGTGGTCGCCAGTCACACTTGGGTTAAGCAGAGGGAACAGGGGGGGGGGATGTACTTTTGATCGTAAACACGGTGAAAGTTGAACTCCCTAAGAGGAATGAACGATTGAATGATTGTAAACTAGTAAACCCTGGCTATAACACCTATCAGTAGATCCTGGTAAGTGCTGTAAACAGTGACAATTGAGTGTCTTTTCAATTTCCTTCTAACCTTTGTCTTTACAATGACAATACGTCCCGCAATCCACTTTGTCCTCTACTCCTTAATCCCAACGAGTAGCCAAAAGACAGCAATTAAGACCGTTACGCAAGGAGGTATGGTTAACTGGTTAATGAACTGAAACCGGATTTGAAGTATGATACAAAATATTTTAGTCTGTTCGTTATACAGTCGATCTCCTGCTATGTCGCACCCCTGAGAAGCCGCATTTTCGAATATCTTCCCAATTTCTCGAAAACCCAAACCAACCGTATGCGTAATAATGTAATTTCTGACTATGCAATGTGGCAACCCTCAATATGTCGCAGT